GAAGTAGGACATAAAACACTACGACGAAAGAAAAAGGACGAAAATATAAATAGCAGTACACAAAACTTTGCAAGTGGTCTTGTTAGCTACGTCTTATTATTTTATTTTTGTTTCTACTACTGAACAGAATAACTTCATATCTTGTATGCAGCTTGACAGTAATGATGCGTAACGTGTAAGCGCTTTTCGTATCTGTCAGACAAATATTTTCTGTTTTCCTATCCTTTATATTATAGGTGGGTGTGCTTTATAAAACAAGGCGTTCAGCTTACTGTTTCAAATAAACCTTGAGGTTAGCTATATTTGTTATACACTTTTGTTAAAGACCTGACGCAAACTCTGAAAATATGATTGATTGATTGATTTTTGAATAGTGGCAAATATTTTATTCATATTCAGAAAGAAAGAAATTATAATCAAATTCGTAGATACTACAATGTGACGGGCGGGACATTTAAATTGTTATTTGAAAATAAGGTACGTTGGGTAGTTACAGACTCTTTTTTTGCAACAGGCAACCTACGGACTCAATTTTGTTTTTACAAGGGTTCCTTAGAAAGCATGGTACGTTCCTTACACGACTTCAGATTTAACGTCCCTATTACGACTGCTTACGAACACACCCAAAAGAACAACCTTTTTAGCATAGGTTATACTGTTAAATGGGAGGAGTCCTGGTGACCGTATTTCTTTACCCCAGTCAACCATTTGGGTTAAGAATTATATATAAATAAAGGCAACAATAATCATAAATCGATTAAGCGAAAACAAATCCGGGTCACAATCCAATACCGAGGGAAATACATCAATTATAAAAGGAAAACAATGGAACAACAGAAACACTGAACTGCAACAAAAACAAACGCCAACGATACATAGAAACAGACTATTTGATAACAACTGCCATATTCCTGACTTGGTATACAGGACAATTAAAAAAAAAATGTTGGGTTGAACATGGTATCAAAACAGTCCAAGAAAATTTGAAACGGGACGTGAAGATAGAGGCTTTTAAGTACCGTTAATAACAAGAAATTATCAGAGGAGATCTTTAAAATGCAATAGTAAATCACAATAATTATATGACCATTATTGACATATTTTGAGTCAGTTGATTTGCTGTCTAACTGCCGTAACAAACTCTTCTTTAAATTTAACAAATTTCAAGAATAAACCCAAAGAATAAGTGACTTTTTTTTATAAAACTTATAAATCTACAAGGAAGAGATGTCTTATGTCCATGTACTTTGAAATACTGAATATCTTTGAAGGTCAGTTTCTTAGTGACCATTTGGTCGGGTAACAGAGGGAAATTTTTGTCAAATTTACCTTGGCGAAGCTTTTTCCGTGCAATAAATGGACCGGGAGGACTTATTGCAAAAAATGCCATAAAGACTGTTTCATCAAGAACAAGTCACCGATATATAGATTGTGCAAAGCAATCAAATTTAAAGAAGGTTTTGCTGGGAATGCTACCACGTGTTACATGTTTGGGTAGACGGGCTCAGGGCTGCATTCGATCCTATATTTGGTTGCCATCATTCTTTTGTTGACTACAAGTCTAGTTGATCCAAATTCTTGCCTTCTTTCTGTTTTTGATGTTTAATATAAAGCTGTATATGTTGAGATATTAAATAGGATTACAAAAATAATGAGATATCAAAACGTTGATAATTTTAGGCCACAAGAATAAAAAATACTCAAGAAAACTGCAGAAGATACCAAAAAGGCGGGAAATCAAAACTCAAAAGTTGGAGATCGACAAACAACACCGAGACCAAAAGAACAAAAAAAAAGTCAAACAGACAATCAACAGTCAACAACATTTTTTTTTTACCTTCTTCGGGAATTCGAGATTGAGCTGTTTAATTCGCGGGAATAGCCATTTAAATCGTCGGAAATTCGGGAATTCGGAATTTAATTTTAGCATGATGCGGGAAAGGACACAATAATTTCACGATTATTCGGGATTTGGCATTTATTTTCTCGGGAATTCGGGAATTCTATACCCTCCCTCTACAAGATCTTATGAGGAAAGCATCTTACAAAAAAGTTCGTATACTCTATAATTTATTGGTACGCATTAATAAGTCAAGATGATCATCTTTATTTTAAATTTCAATTGAATTTTGAACGTACAGTTAACCCTAATTTTGTTTTCATTCCAACGTTAGCTTACTGTCCCTGTTTTTGCAAATTTACGAATTACCCGCATCTCGATATAATTAAATCCCGAATTCCTTACGATTTAACTGGCTTTTCCCGAATTCCCGTGAATTGAACTGCTCAATTCCCAATTTCCAAAAAAGGGTCCTTCCGCCCCTCTTGTAGGTACGAACGTACTCGAATATGTGATTTCAGTTTTGAGTTTTTCAGCTATTTATCAGAACTTACCATTGGAAAATCTAGTGGCAAAAATCATCACCTGAGACAACTTTCCACTAGAGATAAAAAACGGAGGCTGTAAAAACTATATAGGGCACTTTACGGCCTTCAAAAATGAACAAACCTATAAAGTTTAGAATGTGGACTGATATGTGTTAAGTGTAAAGAAGTCGGATTATTTGCATTTTGTACTAGGAACATGCACACGAAAATGGTGCTGTTATAATTCATAAGCGAAATCGATTGTCAATATTTTATTTTTAAGAGACACTCATCAAGATAACATATGACAAGGGAGTAGGAATGACTATGTAACAAGTTCAATCTTACTGGGTTAAGTGCACCACTTAATACCAAGACTATTTTAGGCTCTATTGTTTTAAATTCATTTTGTGTATATTGATGATTAATTATGACATTTAATTGTCATTTGTTTTTGCAGTAATAAATGACGCGTAATACTACGGGTTTGTTACAACTCCTTAAATGATAAACACATTGTAAATAATAACGTCCTCTCGATGTAAAATAAAAAAAAAACCATCATGTAAAAACAGAAAGGTTCCAGGCTTATAAATACGCCAGACGCACGGTTAGTCTGCATAAGATAAAATATATTTATGTTAAATTGTTTAAAAAATAAACTCTTTAATATAAAATTTCCAGTTAGATTTGACAATTTAAAATTATGACTAACCACCGCGTGCAGAAAAGAATCCCCCTCAAACTAAACACTAAATAAAAAAAAAAATTATTTCGTCTTGAAAATGCATGCTCAACATAGATAGAAATGTCCATTTTTTGGTGAAAAATATCTTTATTTGTGAAAATTGAAAGAGATAGGATTCTGTATTTATCCCCTTGGTCCCTTGTTCCAATTGCTAGTAGTCATCATATTAATATGAAGAAATATAAAACATCATGTATTATTAGAGTTTGCGAAATGTTTATGCAAAACTGATGGCCCCACATTCACTTATAGGAAATTGGATTTTTTTTTATTTGACATCCGTATTTTTTTCTGTTTAAAAATAATGAGTTAACATTTTTTTCATATTTATATACGAACAAAGTAGGCCCAAAGTCTTAAAGTGCTGATTTATCCTTTAAACCGAGCTCTTCGTCAGCAGGCTCATGCAAGAGTTGTGGAAACATACGATGTCTGACTTGCCAGCAATTACTGCATACCCAAACTTTCAACAGTCACTCTACTGGTACGAAATACACCATATTTTTCAATTTTTCTTGCAAGAGTACAAGTACTGTGTATCTACTACAGTGTAAGTGTGATGAACAGTATATTGGTGAGTCAAAACCCATTTCACAAATGCATTAATGGTCATCGTAGTGACTATGAATGTATTATAAAGCCAAACCTTCCACTCAGTCAACATTTGAGATCCCTTACCACACTAAGGCATCATTCACCAACATATTGCTTGGCGTAGGGAGGAGAGAAGCACTCGGGATAGGATCAATGAGAATGCGTAGTTCAAATCCTGCAGTACTAACTACAGCAGCTGGGTGTGTTGTTTCATTTGGGATGTATACATACACAGCCCCATCAATTGTAAATATTTAATTTGCGCGAACTACAATATTTTAGAATTATACAAGCGTTGTTCAATTCTTGTACGTTCAAGAATTTTATCAGCGTATATCAGAAGGACTCCATTATACTTCACACTAAATAAGGATATCTGTTATCCGGTATATTTATTAATATTTGTATTTATTTACTGTGTTCTATCTAATTTTTGGTGTTGTTGTACACTTTTTATACTAATATATACTCCAACAATGTATGTATGTATTAACAATTTAGAAGAAAAAGGATCAAACTAGTATTTAATATTTAAACTTAGTAGGTTTATAAATGCGTTAGCCCTGCTCACAGAAAATCTAAATGGTTTCAAAAAGAAATTATTGCTTCTTATCGTCTGGTATAAAAATGTTAAATTATGTGAGTTCTGTATATGATGCAAAGAGAGGCGAAAATTCCAAATGGACATTGAAACTCATTAGACGAAAATAAACAGACAACGCCATGGCAAAAAAAGATAAAAAGACTAAAAGACAAACAACAGTACACAACACACACCATAGAAAGCGAAAGACTGAGCAACACGAACCCCACCAAAACCGGGGGAATCTCATGTGCTCCGGAAGGATAAGCAGATCCTGCTCCACATGTGGCACCCCTCGTGTTGCTCCTGCAAGTACACACCAGGGTGACCAGTGTAATTCGGTAGGTCACATTCGGGAATAGAGGACGGAATTGTAGTTAAGACAATTAGAACATATCAGATGCATTAGTGCATGATGTTTGATTTTTTTTGTATGAAAACATTAGGTCACTAGTATCTTCCTCGAGTAAATTTAGTTAAATTTACATAATAACATATATTTTATTTTCTTCAAAAGTAGGTTGTTTTTTGTTATTATGCATTCTTGTGTGCATTTATTTAGTTAATTTACACCAACCTGATCGATAACAATACGTCATGTTATTTACATATAAAATGCTAATTCAATCACATTTGCGTGTCAATTCCAACAAATAAATGCATTTTGAAAAAAAGTAATTTGTTTTGTGTTTTTCACTAGGATTGGTAGGATGCATACCTACAACACATTGGTTAGTATAATATTTGTTTTTGAAAAAAAAATAATGTACTACTTATGTATTCTACTTTGAACACACCACATTTGCTTGTCTTTAAAACACTTTTAATGGTTCACATATACCAACAATATATATGTCTTACGTTAGTATATTTCTAATTTCTATCAAGATATGATGGTGCATACATATGATACATAAACATTTATTGCCTCCATATGTGCACGACATCCAGTAACGATAAAACTGTCTTACTAGGAAAATTAGTAAAATAGGGGATTGAAACCCAATAACAAGAACAACTAGCAGACATAATGAGGGCAACATCAATATGTCTTTTATCATTCGTCTTATTGATCAGTCTAAGTTTAGGGATTACGTATCATTCTTTATGATTATATTTTTGATAACGTTCGGAATTTTGGAAGGTATGTAAGTTTAAGGAACCTTCTTCATTTGTTTATTTGTTGATTTTCTCAGTTCTTTATTTGATTTATATCCCGATGTATCTGTTTTAATTCACAAATAGTGTGAGTTAGTTGATATCTCATCCATCCGATTGATACATCCATTTCCATGTATTAAAATAAAAACTGCGTCGACAGGGTAAGCGTCTACTCCAGAAATAGACGATCTTAGCTGAATTTGCCACAAGGACTCGATTAGCAGATTAAAATTTGTTAAACAATGTTTTGTAAATTTATTTTCGTATTTCTTGTCTATTTGTATTACATTATTAACGTTTTTAACGTTGGCATCAATAGTTCTTTGCTTTCTAGCAATGTTCAGTTTACTATCCATACATGTATTTGTATACTGAAAAATCCTAAGTCGACAGTTTGAATAGCCTAACCTTCTTTAGATGAAAAATAATTAAAAATATTTCTATGTGACTATATACCTTACAAAGGCACTCATGTCCTTCCTAAATGATTCTTTTATCACAAGCATGTATTGATTTTCCGATCAACGACACCCTTACTCAGCTATCGTTTCATTTAGGTCAAAACATTAAAATTTCTCGGCGAAAGAAACGTAAATGGCAAACGTGTCATTTCCAAATAACATAGACGAAACAGGAGATAACTCTGTCATTCGGAAACTTCCCGGCTGATACGTTTATTAAATCCTTCCGTCCGTCTTTCCGTCTTTCCGTCCTTCTGTCTTTCCGTCCGTCCCATCTCCGTTTCCGCACTCTAACTTAAATTGCATCATCCAAATTTTATAAAATTCATTAACAATGTTAAGAATAACAACAAGCAGACAGAGTTCGAATTTTGGCAGTGAGTTATTTACCGTTCTAGAGTTATGCCCCTTTTTAACTTGGAAATTTGCAAAGCTTGAGCGAGGGCATTCGTGTCCTCAAACACATTTTTTTCTTTTATTTCAGACGAATTCCATGTTGTTCTGGTGAACACTTTCTATCATTCAATAGAACTTTATACGCCTGCGCATTTATTAGATTAATCCCTGTTTATATTATTATGGAAGAGTTTTCAAAGGTGTTTTTGTCGTACCGATAACTTCTTTATAACAACTAAATTATAGAGAACTTAACGTTAAGATTGGCACCAAAATACTTATCCTTCGTATTTGATATACAAATTGTAGTATATCCTTGAAACGAAATGCCAACCTATTGTTTTGTGCAAACCGTTATTACTGACTCTTTGATTAATTGAAGTAAACGCTACATATCATATTTTCTATATTCTAAGCTTAATTATCAGTTCACATCTGAATTTAATGAATTTAATGAAGCGCTTTTTTATTCTCCTTTTTTTTTTGTTGGCGAAATCCAAAAATCCCTTATGGTACTCAATTATAATAAGAATATTAGAATATATAATGGAAATGGACAATATGCCAAAGAGACAACAACCCGACAAAAAGGGCAGAAAACAGACAAAGGACTAATGAGTCTTCAACTCAGCGAGAAAACCGCAACCCGGGTGGGCTTCAGCTGGCCCCTAAATAATTATGTATACTCGTTCAGCGAAATGGCGACATACTAAACTCCGAGACATACAAATGAACCAAAATTAAAAAAAACATACAAGATTAACAAAGTTTAGAGGTTTCTGACTTGGGACAGGCGCAAAAATGCGGCAGGGTTAAACATGTTTTGTGAGATCTCAACCCTCCCCTAATATCCGAAGCAAAAGTGGCAGAAAAAAAACAAAAAAAACTGCAAAACACGCAGTAAAACACAGTTTTATAGAAGTCCGAGTCCGATATTAGAATAGGTAATAGAAGAAACTAAGCAAAATGACAATGATAAACATAAATTAACAAAGGACTACTAGCAGTTACTGACATGTCAGCTCCAAACTTCAATTAAACTGGTTGAAAGATCATGTCTTCATCATATGACAATCAACCACAATCCCTGCAATGATTAATAAATACCATTATTCGTATTATATTTTTTTTAATTTGGTAATTTCAAAGTAGGGACATCATAATTATCATCATAAAGTATGTTATATATTTCAGTAGTACAAAACTTGTTTACCTTTTCACCTTTTCGACTAGATCTGTATTATAGGAATCTTTGTCATAAAACTTTGTACATTATAATGCTATGTTTATTTATAGGTTAGTCTATTTATGACTGTGTTGTTTTTGGATTTTCCTCCAAGCACAGATGCAGACATTTTAAGCTATCAAATAAATTCTACGGACCACAAAACAGACTGTTTTAAGAGAGGGATCAATATAATATGTTTCAAAGAATTTCTTCAACCGGCAACAGAGACGCTGAACGATACAAGCTCCTCTAATTTCTTAACGGCATTATGGCGAAAGATCAACAGTGAGGTTGATACAGCTGCTAATTCTCGACATAAAAGGCAGGCGGTTGGAGTACCAGTCAGACGGGAAGTCAGAGCAGCTCCATACGAAACCAACTTTTTCCGTTATGCGCAAGCTGTACGGAGATTGAAAAACCATTTTGTAAGTATTATATTAGTATGACAAGGACTTATACATCGTAACAAGAAATCAGTGTAGATCCGGGTAACAAACTAAAACCGAGGGAAACACATCAACTATAAGAGGAAAACAACGGAACAACAGAAACACTGAACTACAACAAAAGCAAACGCCAACATACATAGAAACGGACTGTAGATAACAACTGCCATATTCCTGACTTGGTACAGGACATTTTAAGAAAAAATGGTGGGTTTAATCTGGATTTATGGAAAGCCAAACATCCCGGTTATATGGCAATTTTAAAAATACCGCTAAAATTACAACACAACGTGACATGAATACAGTGCAAACAAACACAAGAACACTCAGCACATAGAAATACATAAATGAATATATAATAGTACATTACAACATGTGTACCGCAGAATAACAACGGACACCTTCCATGAATTTACGACAGCACACCAGAACTACACATTATGCAGTTATAAACACGTTGACATTGTTATATTTGACAATAAATGGCCATTTTAAACGCAGTTTTAAAGAAGAAATTCAACAGTTTAAAGATCTAAACGGTGTAGATTATGAATCTACAATTAATGGATGTTCAGTGATCCTCGATGCCAAATAATAATTGAAAACAGAAAACCTGCTACAACAAACATTGAAGAACTGAACTAAATGTAAAGGACCATAATATATAGCAATACCCGCACAAAAAATCAGAGCTTTGTAGGAGGAAGAGGCATTCCTTAGTTTTAAATGATTTTCTATGATTGCCAATGTCTATACGACAATATATATATTATTTTACTTTGTACAAGGCTTAGAAACGGGTAGACTTGGCGACTTTTGGAGCCGAGTAAAACTTATTGATATTTTGAGACAATTTATGGTTGCTCTCATTTCACTTCAACTCTTTAATCTGTTCCGATTAGCAATTATGAATTTGATGCGGACAGCGTAAGCAACTTGTTTGGTAGTTTTACTCTTGAACTTTACTTAAGTAATCAACAAGCTTACTGAACGTTTTGTTTGGTCAAGTGCCATTCACGAAACCCATGCTATTACAATGTGATATTGTTGTAATCAAATCAACAAATGCTACGGAAAAAGATAGGGCATTGACTCTTAAATGGTCTAAAAAAATTCCACAAAACTGCATCCTTTTCCACGTCACATTAACAGCTCTATGGAAACACTTTATCAGCGTCACAAGCAAGTGCATGTACAAAGGATAAGTTTATAAAGTCAATACATTTTGATTGCGAATGTATCACAATTGCAATATAAATGGTCTTTAAAACACCACATTAGTTCAAATTTTATACTTTATGTATAAAACATCACCTTGGACCTTTTACGACTAAGCTGACCGTCGGAACACCAGATAGAAGACCACATTATAACACTTTTTTTTAAAACTTTGTTAATTAGTCTTGTCGTATATGTGTAACATTTTCTAAAATAAGGTCCTAATTTTAAAGGCAAGGTAAAAAGAGTGGGTGTCATATGAACCCTCTAAGTGTCAACGTTCTATCTTAGTTCCGTCTCATATAAAGATTACAGTAGTTCACTTTGTAACATCCGGGATTTCACCATGGCAATTGAAAAAGAAAATTTACAGTAAAGCTTATTGATGACTCAGGTATAAAACAAACTACAAAAAACAGTTTAAGGATGTAGTTAGGTGAAATTAAAAAAATATAGAATTTAAGATTGATACTATAAGTCAGAAGAGCATTAGATATTTTTTTAAAATGGCGGAAAAAGGCTGACTCGGAAATTTACCTTATAGTCAGCATTGACATTGTTTGGGTCGCAAATCGTAAGAAAAAAATCTAGAATCTGCTTAAATTTTGGCAATGACCTTTTTATGAGCTATTGAAGTCTTCTATGAAAAGAAAAGTGGGTGAAATGGGGCAAAATATTTGACCCTGTATCGTAGGAAAAAACCTAAGGAGTCCGAACATTTGACAAAAATTCCTAAACCTGACCTGAGTACATCCTTAAATAAAACAATAAAAATAAAACCAAGGCGGATCAAATACTGTATCATTTTTATTTTCTAGGGAGTTCGTCAGGATATGAATACCTATGACATCATTGCAACAATTCATACAGGCGGAAATCGAGAACATCGAGGGTCAGCTTTCTTTTCATGGCATAGAATTTACCTGTTGTTGTAAGTTCAGTAAATATAGTATCAAATTATAATTGGTTTTCTTACTTCTTATGTTTGCATTACAAATAACTAGTAGGAAAATATTGTACTAAACTTTGACTTGGGTAAAATTGTGTCTTTTCATTCTTATTACTTCGGAGTTTGTTTTATGAACGCAATATTTTTTTTTATGTTTAAGCTACAATATATTAATTCCTCCTTATGTTTTTTAGGTATGAAGCTGCATTGCAAGCTGTTTTTGGACAAGGTGTAACTGCTCCATATTGGGACTCCTCGTGTGACCAAGCGATGGGAAATAGACAATCAAGAACAATTTTATTTTCAAATAAATATTTTGGTACACCGCTTGGTCAAGTTACCGAAGGCTTTTTTGCAAACTTACCTGGTCAAAGAATTAGGCGTGCAATTAACGGACCGGGAGGATTAATTTCCAAAAATGCAATTGCAGCCGTGCTATCAAGAAGAAGCCATAGTCAGATTGTACGATATGATCAAAGAAGATATTGCTGGGAATGCTATCACGACATGGTACATGTTTGGGTAGACGGAACCATGGCAAGCGGGACCTTGGCTGCATTCGATCCAATATTCTGGTGTCATCATGCATTTGTTGACTACGTCTGGGAATTATTTAGAAGACGTATTGCAAATGCCCCTGCAGATTATCCATTAGGTTTTCCAACGCATCCTCCAGAGGGTCAAATGCGATTTAACAATTACAGATACCGACCAAATCCACCTATTACAAATAGAGAAGGTTACAGTAATAGATATGCCCGTCTTCGACGATATGCTCCTGCGCCATCATGTGAAAACCAGTGTTCGAATAGTCCAGACTTATTCTGTGACAGAAATAGAAGAATATGTATCTCCCAAGAGGCAGTGCCTGAAGGATCAGCTCCAATGGATGCAGCTGGTGCCCCAGCTTTTGGTGCTTTTAGTGCGGCTACAGCCCCAGTTGATATTGCTGCTGGAATGGCAGATGTGACAACAACAGTTACAGCCTTACAGAGTATCCAGCAAGAATTATTACAAGATCTTCCTGCTGGTACTCCTCTTAATTTGTTCACTGCAGATCAAATCGACCCTAACACTCGTCCTTTATCAGTTTTTGCTGCTTAACAAATGTGTCGTATTTATAGCTTACACCGCAAGTAAAATATCAGACACATGCTTAAATCGAATAACTGCGTTTTTTTAATATGCCGATTGCTACTGACTTAACAGGTTAAAGAATAAAGGCAACAGTTCTAGTCAAATAAAATAGCTATCTAGGCAATGAGTGATGGGCTTTACTCCCCTCTTCTCCATCCTATGCGTAATTACGAGTCCCTCTGTCCTATCCTATGAGTAATTGCGAGTCCCTCTTTAACCCACCATTTTCTACATAAGGAAATGCCTGTACCAAGTCAGGAATATGTCAGTCGTTTTCCATTCGTTTGATGTGTTTGAGCTTTTGATTTTGCCATTTGATAAGGGACTTGGAGTTCTGTATTTTTTGTTATTTTAGTCTTTCCCTATCATATGAGTAATTGCGAGTAACCTACCAGATTTGAAAATATTGCAGCAGGTGTTTAATCTTTATAAGTTGTTTAGCTCGTGTTTTTGTGAATTTCTTTGCATTTATTTATTCACCGTCTCTGTCACCTGATAGTTTTGAACGTTTATAAAAAAATTCCAACAGGGAAATTATTCCAATGTTAAACTGTTATTGGTTATGGTTGTTGATGTTTTTGTTCATCATTTCTCGTCCATTCTTATTTTTGGAACGTTTTGAACATACATATTTTATTAAATCAAAGGTTAAATCATAGTGATTCATTCAGCTGTTATATTACTTTCAAGAATATGTTAAGTTTAAGAAATACAAATCTATCCGTTAATGTCACGGAATCTTGTATTGATGTTATCGTTGAGATTAAAAGAAGCAGCTACTACAAACGTTGTGGAAAAGGCTTCGTTGTCTATCTAATTTCAATGGTTTCAGATTAAAATACGTAATGTTGTCAACTATCCTAATTGTAAAGAAAAGCTTTTTTATTTCTCTATTCAAATATCAAGGTACGCTCAGAGTCAACAGTTAGAATAAGGAAAGGGATAACAAGGGAAATCAAATAAGTTAGCAATTTGCGCTGTAAAAAGTATTTTGTTTTTTAAAAATTAAACAGTTAAGGATATGTACCAGGCATGGGGCGAATTACATTGCAATGTAATGCATTATATTACAATTACTTTGACCAAACCATGCATTATATTACAATTACAATTACATGCATTTATCAAAGTAATGCATTATATTACAATTACTTTTGCAAAGTAATGCCTTGAATTACACATTACATTTGAAAATTTTATTAAGTGAATAGAAAAATTAAACATTTTGAAAAACAACTAGAAGTCACAAAAGATTCTAGCATATGCATTAACTGTTCCATAAATTGAATATAAGTATACATGTAAAAAGTCTATTTAATTCGACTTTAATTTACAATTTAATTATTTTAACTTAATGTTGACTTTACTTTTATAAATATACTTTTTGTTGTTTTTTTTTAAAATTTTAAACGAAATATTTAATTACTGAGAATTACTTCCCTAATTATAAAATAAACATAGACCTTAATTAATGAACAATTGTCTAAATGGTGAAAATATTGATTGTAAAACAAACTAATTAGTGTTTTATAACAAAGTTTAATTATCTTTTATTTAAGCAAGACAAGATATTCTTTGATCTTATGACAACAATATAGTTATGCTTTTAAATTATCAATCTTTTTATGCAGGAAAATGTATGAAATAAGATGAAATAAAGAATATATTCTAATGACTAACATATTCTTAGTTAATCAAGAAATCTTAAATTTGATTTAGTTAAAATGTTAAAGATGTAGTATGTGAAAAAAGTAATGACATGTAATGCCATGTAATGCATGAAATTACACAACTTTTTGCTAAAGTAATGCATTATATTACAATTACATATAATGCACAAATTGCTGCATTACACATTACATGCAATTACTTGGAAAAATGTAATGCATTACCATGCATTACAATTACAAATTTGCATTTCCCCATGCCTGATATGTACTAACATGAAATTGAAAAAACTATCATGCTTGAATGTTGATAGTGATTTATATCATATTGACAGGTTACATATCTAAAGTACGTTTTTGTAAAATGATAAGTCAGTAAAAAGATTTAATATTCATCAACAGATGTATAACTTTATCTACAAAATATTAATTTGAAAAAACTCTTCAATCACAGTAAACGGTTATTATGTTGTTACATTAAAAAACTAATCATATGCTTTTTTATGGATGTTCGCTACTTTTGTTTTTGACTTTTTGTAAGGTATTCGGAATCCTCTAGTTTTATCAATGTAGTGCCAAAAAACAACACAGAAATTTGCCCGTTAATCCCTACTGTCCTTTTCATAATTTTATTACATATAGTTAAAAAGCCATTTTTGTAAATCTTTTAAATTCCTTGTTTTTTTTCATAGTTTTTGAAAAAATAAAGGTGCCAATTTCAAATATATGAAAAATCAAGAGAGAATCATTATCTGTCATATATTCAACTGATTTTATCTCAAAATAAAGGACACGGACCTGAAATTTTGTTCTACTTTTTAAGTTTCGTTATTTATATGCTATCAATTGATAACAGTCTTTTAAACAGCTTGTTATTTTGAAACAGAGGAGCGAACATCGCTTACCACTACAAACATTACGGATACTTTATTACTCACAGAATTATGTCAAAATGGCGGCACTATAAACACATGTCATAAAAGTGGAAGGTTAAAAAAGCTATAAAACCAGGTATAACCAACCATTTGCCTCTGAAAATGCCTGTACCAAGTCAGGAATATGACATTTGTATCTATTCGTTTTGTTGGTTGAAAAAGTCTAACGTTTGCTTTTCGTCAGGATTTATGGACTCCTTTTTTAATTACCCTTGTAATTCGGTATTTTGGTTAATACTATTTTAATTAAACACACAGCACTCAGTCAAATGATTGAAATTTATCATTTTGCAATCCCTATAAGCGCATGTTGCTTGGTGAACCGTTTGTGCTGAAATATTAAGGCAAGAGAAGTTTACCGATGATGATCAAATTTCATAATCGATCAAGGAGACAAATCGAGGTAACAAACAAACACCGAAGGAATGGCATGAACTCAAAAAGTAGCGAGTAATTCGTTCTCAGTAATAAAACTGTAACTTCCTCAAGTTGAGTTAATGGTATGAGAACAAATAATCAGTTCGGATTATCTTAAAGATCAAAAGTGCTAAATAAATGCAAATGCTGTAAGACCACATTAAATTAAGAAGTCCAAAAGGAAATACATGTCTCAGGTCGTTAGATATAAAAAAAAAACTGAAATCTTGTGAGCCCATTTGAATTCAATTTGTTTGTTCTTTAACCCTTACGATGAATATGCTGAACTCTATGAACCTTGTAACAATGAAATGGCAATGTGAAGATAACCTTAAAACAACGCTTGTAATGATTTTTGATATCATTTTGTTTCATTTAAATTTTGTTGGACAAGTTGCAGTTTGGAAACCATGCGATAATTTCTTGATAATCTTGTGGATTCTAAAAATAAAAAAAACAAATGATTTTGAATACACGTCCAGTTATTTTCTTTGATGTTACTTAAACAAAAGAGTCAATGTATTATATGCTATATAAATATCAGGATGATATAAAGTATACGACGATGAGACAGCAACAAATCTAGAAAGATAACTGGCACAATTACTGCAACAAATCTATTCTCACATCATGAAATATGCACCAACAGAGTTATCTAGATAAAAATGAAAGATGTGATACGTTGTCAAGGAGATATCTTTCCACCAAAGACCAAGCACTAGTAAATTTGTAACTTCATATCACTGTACCGGCTTTAACAACGGTCAATTCATTAATACAAATAAAACAAGTCAAGGGGGTGATAAAATGTAAAAATATTTCAAAAGAGAATAAACCAACTGTTTGCATTGGCCCTAAACAATAAATGCAGAACGATAAGGACAAACAGCAACCAACGATAATCGCTGTCTTACATGATCCTGGCTCGGACATAAAGCCATAAGTTTGTGGCGGGAATTTTTATAAACGCTTAATCCTCCATTATTGATTTGAAGAGTGCTATAACAACACTCAAAGTTGCTGAAAGCTGGTTTAAAACCAAATTACAAATAATAAGTAGACCATGTTTTCATAACCTAAAATATTGTAAATTCAGAAATTAATGCACGCATTTATTACTACGATTATAACAGTAATAGAAGAATGGACAAACATGCGAGATTGATTATTGTGATTTCAGGACAATCTGCATACAGATATATGTATTAGATATCATATATCTTATATATATGTTCAAAGGCATAAATCTACTATATTTCAATGTTATATATTTATAAACAACTTGTTTGTACAAAATCCCCCAAATCACCTAATCTGAACAAAATGATGACATCATGCCGTTAGTTTTGAATTGTTTTACATTTGTCATATCGTTGCTTTTTACTGCTAGCTTTGCGGTATGGGATTTTGCTTATTATTGAAGGCCGTACGGTGACCTATAATTGCTCACTTCTATGTCATGTGGTCTCGAGTGGAAAGTTGTCTCATTGGCTATCATACCACATCTTCTTGTTTCTAATCAACAAGTTTTAAACGCACTATCAATGAAAAATAAGTTCATGTGACAACCCGACAAGATGTGAAATTATTTTTTAACATTGTACAGATATATATCATCTTTCCGTGATTAATTCAAAGAAAATAAATTGTGCTTACTGTGTAGTTTTTCAGCGTGAAAATTTAAACAACTTTGACACGAAAATGATCAATATAAAATTTACCTGCTATGAAACATTTAAACAGGAACAGGATTTGCTAACCCATCAGGAGCACCTGAGATAACCCTCGGTTTTTGGTGGGATTCTAGTTGGTCAGTCTATATTTTTATATGTTGTGTTTTGTATACTGTTATTTGTCTTTTGGTCGTTTTTCGTTTTTTGCCATGACATTGTCAGTTTGTTTTCGACTTGAGTTTGAATATCCATTTGGTATCTTTCGCCTAACTTTTACCAAACATTTATATCTAATTCTTCTTTATTCAAAATTCTTATAATTTCTACAATTA